GTACAGCAACAACAGTAGCAATAGTGAAGCCAAAACATCTCAATCCACCCCAGTACACCTCAAAATCCGCCAAGCATATGGACAGGATCTTGATACTGTGGTGCCAACCCTGATCACTACTGTACAGACTCTGGCTTCAAATAATGCCACCAGTGCCAGATGGCAGGGGCTATATGTGGGATACTTTGGGTTCATTTTTGTACAGGTGGAGATGCGACGTCCATCTTTTATGTGTGATTTTTTGTGATTTTTTTTTTTGTGTGATCTCACTCCTCTGCCTAAATCTAACGAACCAAACCAATGAAGCCCACAAACACTAGTCAATCAGAGGCAGAGTAGGGCGGGTCTTCGGGGAATGCCGGTGGGAAAAAAAGGTTTTACACAAATGTTTAGGGGTGTGACAAAAATCAGAAGTACCAGTGTGTACCTGCCCATTTCAGGCAATGGTTTTTAGTATGAATGTACAGTTTGGTTCCCTTTTCTTTCTTATTACGACCAGTTAAATATGAGCCTTTACAATTTTAAGAATAATCTTTTTTTAATTAGCAAAATCTGAGGAGTGTTTAAAATGCCGAGCGGCAAGTGTGTATGTGCATGCATGGAAACTAGATCAAAAGATTATTACCAGACAGATGGTAGTAGATGTTTTTCGCCACCAGCTCTTCGTTCAGGTGCAGCTGACACTCATATTTTCCTTTATTCCTCAGATAAATTGTTTGAGAAAGTGTGACATAGGGCAGAGCTGAGACATTTCCTGGAGCAGTGTCAACAGTTTGAAGGTTGTATCCAATGTGAAAAATGGACAAAACAAATCCAGTACCCTGGGTCACGTTAACTTCACAGCAGAGCAGAGACTGATTGTGACTGGTGAGTTTAAAGTTCACGGTGTCTGAAAAGGGACAGATACAAAGTATGTTAAATATACACAATCAGGTATTGCAGGTTTTGTCTATTTTCATGAAATTCTTCCTTAACCTCCAAACTGCACAGTGTGGCACATCCCTTAATTTGCCTTTTATTTACCATAAACCATCAGTAAAGTTCCATTTCCATTCATCCTGAAACGTTTTTCCGGGACAGTGATGGAGACTTTGCACAGGTACTTCCTACCGTCGGTCCACTCGACCTTCCTGAGGAGTAATGACTTGTTTAAAGAGAGCACATCATTGTCCAGAAGGTCAACACGTCCCTCATAATTCTCAGAGGGCATCCACACTCTGACATTGTTGGTGTCTGTCCAATACAAAACTAATGGGGTCAGCATTTTCTCATCATAGGAAAGATGGCACGGCATTACAACATCATGACCCAGAGCAGTGGCAAGCAAAGGAGGCTGGTGGATTGTGACCAGAGAGTAAGTACCTGAAACAACATAAAGATAAAAAAAAATTACTGACAGGAGCATATTGACTATCTGTCAAAAGTAACTGAATATACTGTGTATTTCACTGAAATGCTCAACCTCCACCTGTGATGTTCTGGTAAAAATGTGTTATTATAATTGTGAATACATGGCTGATAGAGTACAAGCAACAAGACCACAGTGTGTGAACATGCATTAATGAATAAATTAATGAATTAATTAATAATTCTATCTATCTATCTAAATTAATTAATTAATTAATCATAATAAACACTTGAAGGAAACAGGAAACTGCACCAACAGCCTGTTTTAGATTTGATTTAATAAAGAACTGCAGAACATTTGTGATGAAACACACTGTACTGAGAGGCAAAATTAATAACTCCTAACTATTTTTTACATACATCTTTTATCTACATCAGAAACTTCATGAATTTTACCTGAGACCATAACGTGGAGAAAGATCCATTGTGTCAATGCCCATTTTGTCACAACTGACAAAATTATCTCTAACATGTCTCTCACCAAATGGCACGGCAAAAAGACGATGTAGCCCCCTGTGAATGCTGGCATATATTACAGCCTACACTTCCTCTAGCTAACTGTCAGTAAGAAGAGGAGGAAGTGGTTATTTTGGTTAGAAAAAATGAGAATGTAGGACTTTTTTTGACATTTGTTATTTTAAAATAGCACATTTGACAAAACAAATCTCCATTCAAGGACCAGTTCTTTACTTGCTCTGGAGATTTCAGCTGTATCACATAGCCTCCATCAGCAGAACAAGTTTGTTCAATTGTCATGAAACTGTAGATGTTCAAACTCTCCTTTATTCTGGGCACTTTTAGGACCTCTCATTCATGTTGGTTTATACTTTGTGAGACTGTTTTGTCCACTGTTTCCAAGATGAACAACTTGTAGGCCAACGTGAACAAGACGTCTTATCTGCTAATGAAGCAAGAAAGCTGCAGAGTGAGTAAGCAGACCTCAATTGCTGCTGCTTCATGATCAATAAACTTGGAAATGAACTGAAGAATTTGCTTGCTGATGTGATGCATTTTCCACTTTCCATGTGGGAGGATAAATGTTCAGTTGAACGCTGACTAGAAACCACAGTGGGTTTTGACACATTGCAGAGGCGTGAAGACCCTGTGCTCTGCAACAGGATAACGTTCTTGCCTCGGGGCACTGGTTTTCTCTTTTTTTTGGTTAATCATAGAAATCTGTTGCCGTTCTATAATATTTGGCATTAATTATACTTTTATACTTTAAAGGGTATGGCTTAGCTGAGTTTGACTACACTCATCCCATTCAGTCCAAAAACACAAACAGAAGAAGAAAATATACTTTATTGATCCCCTAGGGGAAATTGTTCTTTTCACTCTTTTTTTATATACACACACACA